GACACAAATATCATGTATAGTAATTTTATATTTTTCTTATACTAAGAAAGTAATGGGGCAAAAATTAACATAAGGTGATTTTATGTATACATACATACCAACTCATTTTATTTGGTTTTGTTTTTTGAACTCAGAATTTGAAGAATTTTTAGTCAGACATAATGTTCTACATTATTATTATCTAGTGTTTCAATGAGGTAAAAAAAAAGAAAGAATTCAAAAGCTTTAATATAGCCAAAGAACAGAAAATGAAAATAGATGATATTACAGAAAAAGGAGAGGTAGAACAAGATTGAGAGTTCTTTAAAGCTGAAATTTTTCTTTAATGAAGTATCCTTGGAAAAAAATATATCTATGTCTGTTTTTCCACATAAGTCTCCTAAACAACATGGAATTCACAAATCAAACAGATACAATAGAATTCCTGCTCTTGGGCCTTTCAGATGATCCAGAATTGCAATCCATTCTTTTTGGACTATTCTTGTTTATGTACCTGGTCACATTTCTTGGGAACCTCCTTATTACCCTGACCATCAGTTCAGATTCCCGCCTCCACACACCCATGTACTTTTTACTCTGCAACCTATCCTTGGCTGATATCTGTATAAGTTCAACCACAGTTCCAAAGATGCTATTGAATATCCAAACACAGGATCAGAGAATATCATACACAGGATGCCTCACTCAGGCTTGTTTTGTTTTGATTTTTGCTGGATTAGAAAATTGTTTGCTTTCAGCAATGGCCTATGACCGTTATGTGGCTATTTGCCACCCTCTGAGATACACAGTTATCATGAATTCACACTTCTGTATTCTACTAATTCTAGTTTCCCTGATCATTAGTGTTGTGAATGCACTACTGCTCAGTCTCATGGTTCTGCAGTTGACTTTCTGTACAGACGTGGAAATCCCCCACTTCTTCTGTGAACTGGCTCAGATCATAAAGTTTGCCTGCTCTGACACACTTATCAATAAGATTTTGATTTATATTGCAGCTCTTCTATTTGGTGGTATTCCTTTCTTTGGAATTTTTCTGTCTTATACTGAAATTGTCTCTTCTGTTTTGAAAATCCCATCTGGGCAAGGACGGTATAAGGCCTTTTCCACTTGTGGTTCTCACCTGTCAGTTGTTTCCTTGTTTTATGGGACAGGTTTGGGAGTATACATTAGCTCTGCAGTTACAGAATCTCCCAGGAAGACAGCAGTGGCTTCAGTGATGTATTCCACAGTCACTCAGATGCTAAACCCCTTTATCTACAGCCTGAGGAACAGGGACATGAAGGAAGGCTTGAGAAAACTCACAACTAGAATGGCTTCCCAAATGTGATGGGGTCATTTTCAGGATCAAGGGGAATCTGGGCATTATTCAGGTATAAGATCTACATATGATTGTGAGACAGAAACAGACTATTTCTTTCACTCAAAGAACAAATTTTCTTTGGGTCTACTAAATGACTAAAATTGCTTGATAAGCCTACATCAATATATCTATATCATTATCCATCTGACCCAGACTATTTGAAAATCTACTATATTTTAACTAAAGCAAAAATAGTTTCACAGTAATAGCATAGTCTAGATTATCTTGGCAATTTTATGTTCTATTGACGTTTCACAATATAAGATTCAGAGATAAAAAGATAGAGGAGAAAGAAAAACCTAAATCATTTATGGACACTGAAATTGTAATATTGACATTAGTAGTTTATCTGTATGAGTCTATGGCTTTGTTCTATGTATCTGTCATACTGAAAGAACATGTTTCATTTTATAAACCTATATAATTTTTGTGAACTCTCTTCCTCATTAAAACTTAAATTTCATTGGTGTCATTGAATTATTGCCTGGTAATCCTTTGCTTTCTGCATAATATCCATTTTGAGTGAATACATACTGTATTTGTCCTTCTGGGTCTGGGTTACCTCTCCCAGGATGTTTTTGCTAGTTCCATCCATTTGCCAGAAAACTTAAAACTATCTTTGATTTTTTACCACTGAATAATACTCCATTTTGTAAATGTACCACATTTTTTAAATCTATTGTTTAATTGAGGGGCATCTAGGCTCTGGCCAAAAAAGAAAAAAAGTACCATGAACACAGTTGAGTAAATGTACTTGTGGAATGATTGTGCCTTCTTTGGGTAGAAGGGATGGTAAGTAAGATGGTATCATGAGAGTTCAAGACAAAGTTGGGGAAGTGATGGAATGGGAGAACAATGCAGGGAGCCATTAAGGGGTTAGGGAGAAACCTGGTGCTAGAGAAATTCTCAGGAATCTACAAAGATGACCCTAACTAAGAGTCCTAGCAATAGTGGAGATGGTGTCAAAATGGACCTTCCACTTTAATCAGATTAGTGACTACCCTAGTTGACATCATAGAACCTACATCCAGTAATTGATGGAAGCATATGCAGTGACCCACAGCCAAGAACTGGGCTAAGCTCCTGGAGTTCAGTTGAAAAGAGGGAGGAGGCATCATGTGAACAAGTAGGGTCATGAGCATAGTAGGGAAAGCCACAGAAACAGCTGATCAGAGGTAGTAGGAGCTCATGAACTATGCAGGGACAGCTGGGAAAACTGCATGGGGCTGAACTACACCTTATCTGTTGGGAGACTGCTGGTATTGAGACCAGGAATTATCCCAAGTGTGTGAACTGGCTTTTTGTAGTGCATTCCCTATTATGGGATACCTTGTTCTGCCTTCATACTGGGAGTAAGGACTTGGTTCTGCCTCAACATTGTATGGCAGACTTTGTTGATACCCCAAGGAAGGCCTTACCTCCTGTGAGGAGTGGATGAGTCTAGGGAAAGAGGGTAAGTGTCAGGCAGTAGAAGAAGAGAAAGAGGTTATTGGGTTGGTATGTAAAATAAAAAGTGAATTGTTCAAATAAAAATTTGAAAAGTGCAAAAATAAATTTCAAAGATAATTGTTTATCAAAATCAATGATAGTTTCACTTGTTGGTTAAGATATAATTGTTTCAGTAGGTTCAGCACACACACACACACACACACACACACACACACACACACACACACAGCCTCAATAATCTCCCCATCCAACATAGAGGAAAATTTCAATGTGGAAGAAACTATAGCACAAAACAACAGACTTTCTCTCTGAAAATCATATTAGAAACATGAATACAACTGTAAAACTTCTAGTTACTTAAAGCAAGCCAGACATAGAGAAGTCCCAAATCTGCTATCTCAGGGTAACATTTTTATAAAGTGACTTGAATATAGAATGTGGAATAATCCCCTGGAGTTAATGAAATAATACTTCCATCCAGCATACTAAGAAATGGAGTTTGATATTTATAGAGTTCTCTGCCTACTTCAGCAAGAATGGAATCACATTCTTCACTTTTACCTAGGATGTTCTTTCTCTCTCTATTTCAGAAAAAGAGAAAAAGATCAAAATGATAAAAAATGAAAAATATCAAAATAAAATGAAAGTGCATAATAAAACACAAAGTTCATTCTGTGATGACCAACACCTCTTCATCTTAACCTGGATCCTAGTTGACATATCTAGTGCCACAATTACTCACTTTGGTAATTCCCAGAATTATAATTAAAACAGCTGATCTCTGAAAAGAAATGGTGAAAAGCAACTTTTTTTTTTTAAAACATTAAAGTTGGAAATAACTCAAAATATAATTGGTCAATTGTAATGGGACCTATGACTTGCTGGATCTGACTAATCATTTCACTATTGTACACCTTTAACCTACCCTAGGTCAACACCAGTTGTCTCATAGAAAAGTGAAGCTTGTGTTTACATGAGCTTCATTTAATCATTATATATATATCATATATATTATATATATAATATATATGTATATCACTAGAGAATCAAATTGAATTTATGATTAATGTAATCAGTATTTGAGTCAGTGCTACTATGTTGGACTACAATAAATAACATCATGAATTTGATTAATTATATAAACTAGAAGCAGCAACAATTAGGAATCACACAATGGCTCTTTTTAGGCTATACCATATCTGTTGGTTATAAATATTTAAATGCCTTGGGAAAATGGAATAGCCCTGGACATGACATTAGCACAACAGGATAGGGTCTTTGTAATAACAGTTGGAAAATACTGCATTTTCATTTATAAAGATTTCTGATGGTAGCATTAGATGAGCTCTTTAAGACTGACCAGTTTTTATAGTTAGATAAAATTAAGAAATAAAGGAACACTTTCCCTATTAAATGGAAAATTGATTTAGATAGTAAAAACAGAAAATAAACTTATTCCTGATCTCCCTAAATATAGTCCTAGGAGTCAAGATTATAGTTGACTGCAGTGTAATTCCAACCATCTTATGGCTAGTTCATTGATTAATTCAAAGAGTTACAACTAACAAAATTCCTGGATCTCATCAAAGTATGTTAGTAGCTTCAATCAGAATAGCAAAGTAGGGCAATGTTAAATAAATTTAGAGGAAAGAATAAAAATTTATTGTAATCAGGGAGGAAAATGTGAGAAATGTAAATGAAATGAACTGTTTTGTTTTCATGTGAATAAAAATTGTTTTTGTCACAATTCTTTGGATTTCATGGACATTTTCTTGGAGTCCCATAGTCATTTCTAATATGTTTGCATCATCCTCAATTGCTTCCATATGAAAAACTTTTTGGTTTACACTTGAGGTTAAATCCACCCCAGATGTCTAGCCCTAAGGTCTTGCTGTCTTTGTCCCATCTTACATCATATGCATGCAGCTGCCAACAAAAATCCACAAACATTTTTCAGCTTGGTTTTCACTTAATGCAAGGCATCAGATGCAGAGCCTAAGGGAAGAACTCACTAGGGCCCTATAGAAAGCTTCTCAAAAATAATTTGGTATGATTACTTTAACAAATGCACTGACCAACAAAGTTACAAGTTCACTTGAACAATAACACATAAACTGAGTATATAGCTGCTAGACACTACGGCTTCTATAACTAGCAATCTAGTGAACTGGAAGGGAATTATATTAACAGTATGCTCTCTTGGAGTTTTATCCCTTGGATTCTGCAGATTCCCAATCTTGTGTGTGCTTTGGGGGACTCTGAATGCTTTTTCAGAATCAAAGACTTTCGTCATGATGGGAATGTGATCATTGGTGCATTTTTCCCTCTTTATTATTTTTACTCAGCCAAGAAAATTCCTCATAAAAATCTGCCAAACGATTATGGGGATTTGAATATACAGTAAGTGTCTTTTAGTTTCCAGACTTCTTAGGAACTTGGGGTTGTATGGATTCAATTATCATTCTTCTCTCTGATTTCTACTGTGACAATCAGTCTTATCTATTCTCAAGTTTTTTTTTTTTAAATACTCGTTTTTTTCTTGATTTCTATGCTTCTTATAAGTAAGACTTTTGGCTTTACTTGTTTTAATAGTCACTTTTAATAATTGAGTTTTCTTGTCATTTTATGTCACATCTATAACACTCCATATTATGGATATTTTAAATGTTAGTTCTTCAGAAGGATTATTAATCAAGGATTGATATTGTATTTCATGGCATTATAGAAATTTAGCTATGCTCTTATGATGAGAGAGGATGAACTTAAAGCAGCAACTACTGAATTTTATATATGATGTTAGAATGACAATTCTTGCTTATATTAGATGTTTCTAGTTCTGGTGCAGCAGAAGTGTCAGAATTCGAATTTTGGACTGCTGCTCTGATACATATCAGAATTTTGTATGTGTGTGTGTGTGTGTGTGTGTGTGTGTGTGTTTCTTCTGCTAATTTTCCTGATGCTCAGAAAAACATTTCATGATTAATGATTTTCTCTATGAATTTCCTATATGCCCTTTATAGTTAAAAAGATGTGTTCATGAAGATACATTGATTGTGTGGGTAGTCACTACTGTTTCTTAACTGTTTTCAATTCTGCAGGTTTAAGGGATGGTTTCAGACATGTCCATTTGTATACTTAGTCCAATACAAGAAAAATATTTGAATTCATTCATATTCTTCTACAATGATGATTATATTCATCACAGTAATCATGATTATAAAAATATTACAAAAATAATAGAGGAGCAACAATTTTTTGTATTACATTAGTTTTTATATGGTACTAACTTTCAATAAGATTTTAATTCTAGACAAACATAAATTACTAATGAAAATTTCTTTCTATATAGAATATAAGAAATATGCACTAGCTTTCTGATTAATGCAAGCTTATTTTTGGGATCACAGATGTTTGGTAAATTATTTTTGTACTATGTTTATTTAGTTTATCTGTTTGTGTGTATGTGTATGTACCACACACAAACATTCTGAAGCCTAGAAATTTCTCCTTATTCAAGGAGATATGCAAGTGCTGTCTTCAGCAACAGGCCCTTAGTGTGTTAAGATAGCTAAAATCTTGACAACACCATGAATGTCTCAGAGCCAACAATCTAATTATATTTAAACCATTCATACTACTACAAGTTTCAATTGCTTATGAAAAATATCTTATTGAGCATGGTCTTTCCAATTATTTCTTGATTTCAATTAGATTTCTTTCCTCTATGTATGTTTTGATATACTTATATAATAAATGATATGCTTATATAATATGTAAGTTTGCATACAATGCCTCAGATGTAATCCTTCCCCATATTCCTTCCCTTACCAACTTTTTATCCAACTCTTCATTTAAACCCATGATCTATAGTCTCCTCTCTGTCATATATATATATATATATATATATATATATATTTCCTCTTCTCTGTGCTACCCTCTCTTCCTAAATAGTCTCTTACTTTATACCTAAATTAAGTTATAGTGTGGAAGAGTGCCTATTTATAGCTTAAAAGGTAACACTATATATAAAAAATACAGGCAATATTTGCACTTTTTCTTTCTGACTTACCTCCCTTACCCTGATTTTTCCTAACTTAATCCATTTATGTCACATTTTTGTTATTCCATTTTTTAAAAGGTAAATAGTAATTCATTGTATACCATATTTTCTATCTATTCATCTGTTTTTGCACATGCAAGCTGTATCTAATTTCTGGATATTAGGAAGAGCAAGAATGAACACAGATTGAATGTCCTACCAAACGCAAGCTGCTACATATGCAATATAGAATCTCCGTACTCTTTGTGAGACTCTGAGGTAGGATGCATAGTCTTTTGGGTATACTCATATAAGTGCCATAACTGGATCTTTTGGTAGAACTATTCCTGGATTCCTGAGGAAGTGTCACCTTTATTTGCATGGCTATTGTACAAGTTTTTATTCCTACCAACAATAAATAAGAGTTCAATAGTACCACACCCTTGTCAGCTTGAGCTGTTGTTGGTTTCTTGTATTGACCATTGGGCTTGTATATGTTGAACTCTTAGAGTAGTTTTGGCTTTCAATTCTCTGATGACTAAGGTTGTTGAATATTTCTTTAAGCGTTTGTCACTAATTTATGTTCATCTTTTAAGGACTGCTTGTTTAGTATTGTGTTCCATTATTAATTGGGTTATTTGTTTTTTAAACTACTTTATATACATTAGATATTAACTGTCTAGTAGATGTATAGCTGGTAAAAAAAAAAAGTCCCATTGTGTCAGATTTCACTTTGTCTGAATTATTGTGTATTTCTCCATGAGGAAATTTAATTTTAGTTGGTCTCACTAATTGATTTTTGTTATTATTGCCTATGGTTTTGGCATCCTGTTTGGAAAGTCTTTTCCTAAGCAAAAATATTCAAACCTGTCTTCCAGTTCATCTTCTATCATCTTTAGGTTATCTGGCCTTATGTTAAGGGTCTTAATACTTTTGGAGTTGAATTTTCTGCAGGGTGATAAATGTGGCTTTTTACATATTCTCCTACAATCATTCATCCAGTTTGATTGGCACCATTTCTTTTAAAGGCAATGCTTTCTCCATTGCATACTTTTGACTTCTTTGTCAAAAGTCAGGTGTTCATTGATGTACGGACTTATATATAAGTCTTCAATTTGATTTCATTAATGAGTGTATCTGTGTTTATGCCAATTATATGCTGTTTTTATTACAATAGTTCTGTAGTACATCTTGATATAGTGATGTGATAGCTCCCACAGTTCTTTAATTACTGAGAATTCTTTTAGCTGTCCTGGATATTTTGTGGTTCCATATGAAGCTGAAAATTGTCGCTAAAGTTCCTGGAAAGTTTAGTGTAAGAAGTTTGATGGGGATTGTGTTGAATCTGACGTTTGCTTGGTAGGACAGCAGTTTTTGCTATACCAGGTTTTACTATTCCACGAGCATTGGAAATCTTTACATCTTCTAATGTCTACTTTAATTTCCTTCTTTAATTAAATAAAGTTTTTTTGTCACAATCTCTTTTATTCTTTTGTTAGATTTATCAAATGGTATTTTATATTTTAAAACTATTGTAAAATGGATAACTATCCCAGGAATTTTCATGAAGATGGTGGGGAATTGGACTCTCGCTCTGGCAAAACACTCACCCTAAGAAGTGGGGCCAGCAGGGCCCTGGATGAGGGAAAGGCAGGCTCTGGGTAGTAGATGGTCTGGATACCTGGACTTGACCAATCATGTCAAGGTTATAGTGGGGAATGAGATGGGGTGCTAACATAGAGAGTTCTCAGAAAGGATGTGGGGATTCAATCTGGGAAGGTCCCAGACTCACATCAGGCTGAGGGCAGGCAAAGAGGCTTAATTTTTATTTTGTTAACTTCTGACCTCAGTTTGTATGTCTTGCTTTGTTTTTCAGTGTCCATGAGTTTTTGAAAATCCTGTGGCTCCTGTTGGTGGTCCAAATTATTATTTTAATTTAATTGTAATTGTTGAGACTTTCTTTTTTGTCCATGTATGTGATCAGTTTTTGAGAAAAGTTCTATCAAATGCTAAGAATAAACTATATTCTTTGTTTTGGGGTGAAATGTTCTGGAAATATTTTCTAGGAGTTTTAATTTTATTGTATTATATATCTTCATATTGTTCCTGTTTCATTTCAATTAATTTTACTTTAATTTTTCTAAATTAATCTTGTATTGGCCATCTAGTAGACATCAGGCCTTTCCTTCAGAGTGTTTCTCCCCCGTAAGGCAATATACAATAAAACTATTTACTTTACTTGCAAGTGGTTATCAATCAGAGATGTCCTCTGCATTATGGTAGGTATCTAGTGTTCACTTATATTTTCAGCATTGGAACTTCATCAGGACCAGACCTTTGCAGGCCCAGTGAATGCTGCCTCAGCCACTGAATTTATATTGCACTGGTCTTGGTTGTTCAAAAGGCCTTGTTTCCTTTATGTCATTTATTCTGGCTCTCTCACTCTTTCCATATCCACTTCTCAAATTTTATTGAACCATGAGAGCAGTAATTTGAATCACAGATGAGTGTTCTAAGGTGTTAGTGCAGTAAGTTAAGAAAAGTGATACACAGAGAAAGTCACCATGTAACAGGTTTCAAGATGAGGCTTGTTTTTTGTTGTTTATTTTTCTAATTAGGGAAAGGTATCAAAAAAAGAAGGGGAATGGGTAGGGGGGAGACCCATTTGGAGACAGGAGCAGCAGGAGAGAGAAGAGAGGAAAGATGGGGAGAGAGATGAAGGCACGAGGAGAGAGGGGGAGAAAGAGAAACAGAGGAAGAGAAAATAATAGAGAAATATGCAAGGTGGGCAGAGCCTACTTCAAGGGGGACACAGTGAATATGCAGAGGTGGTACACTTAGCAGCTGCAGCTGAGGGCATATCCTGTCAGAACTCCAAATACAGGCCAGTACAGATGTGTGAATAATATTTACTCTCTGTATATTGACTAGCTGTGAACCACTGTACTGGTTCTCATATTCTTAAGGAATGATATTTTCAGATGATGGCTAAGTAAGGCATGTATTTATGAGCATGGCACAATGCCATTATGAGTCATTTTATTGCAATGTTCATTAGCAGAGAGCAGTATTTGATTTTCCTACAGATCCCTAGCCTATCTAGTACCAGGTTCTTGGCCACCAAAGCAGGTATAAATTGTATCTCATAGACTGGGTTATAAATCCAAACAGATATTCGTTAGTTATTCCTACAAACTGTGTGCTCCTATGACAGAAGCACATTTGGCAGATAGGTTACCCTTGAAGATTGAAGGGTTGGAGTTGGAGATAGTGTTTATCTTTCTCCTTTGATTCCTTGTACAGTACCTTCTGGTACTAGGAACACTAGTCTGTGGATGGTGAAATGGCACTAGGAAAACAT